CCCCCCCCCCCCAGCTCAGCTTGGCCCATCCAGCCCAGTATCCCACCGCTGCCACCACACCCCAGCTCAACTCGGCCCATTCAGCCCGGTATCCCACCGCTACCACCACAGCTCAACTCCCCTGGGCCGGGCCAGCCAGCTATCCCACTGCTAACACCACAGATCAGCCCTCCTGGACCTGACTATCACCACAGCTCAACTCCATTGGCCCAGCCACTCTGGTATCCCACTTCTGCCACCACGGATCCGACCTCAGGAGTCTGTTTAACCCAGTATCCCCTACCCTAGGTCAGACCCAGGAGTCCTCTCCTGCAGTTTGATGCCTCACAGCTGGCATCACCAATCCAGCCTTGGGGCCCGTCCAGCTCCGTAAGCTCCCCCACCCAGCCCACCGCTCCCCCTCCCCATACCAGGAAAGGAGGGGGCACGTTGATGAGGCAGCCGCTGTCATCGATGATGGTGATAAAGTCCAGACCGTGGCGCTGCCCCACCTCGTAGTCATTGTGGTCGTGGGCTGGGGTGATCTTCACAGCGCCTGGGCAGGGGCGGGGACGGACGTCAGAGACACCTTGCGATTCGCTGCTGCCCAGGGGCCCCTTCCCCTCCAGCATCAGCCTCACTTCACTCCCCAACGCCCTGCCCACAACCCTGGGAATTGCCCCCAGCCTCATATTCACGCCACATCCCACAGCCCCTCCCATGACTCCAGGCACTGTGCCCAGAGCAAGTCACACAGCCCAACCCTCCTGGGCCAAACCACCCAGCTATCCCACTGCTTCCACCACAAGTCAGCCCCCCTGGACTCTCCTAGGCAGGTATCCTACTTCTGCCACCAAAGTTCAGCCCCACTGAACCAAGCACTCTGGTATCCCACCCGTACCACCACGGATCAGACCCCCAGGGGCATATTTACTTCACTTCCTTTGTCTGGGCCTCTCCAGTGTTCCACATCCCTGAGTCCTCTGCCCAGCACTGCTTCCACCACAAGTCAGCCCCCCTGGACTCTCCTAGGCAGGTATCCTACTTCTGCCACCAAAGTTCAGCCCCACTGAACCAAGCACTCTGGTATCCCACCCGTACCACCACGGATCAGACCCCCAGGGGCATATTTACTTCACTTCCTTTGTCTGGGCCTCTCCAGTGTTCCACATCCCTGAGTCCTCTGCCCAGACCCCCGATTAGGCCCCTCCCTTCCTCCCACCTCTGCTCCAGGCCCCAACCCCACCCTAGCCCCTCCCCCTCATACCGGTCCCGAAGCCCATGTCCACGAAGTCGTCGCAGACCACGGGCAGGCGCCGCCCGGTGAAGGGGTGCACGACATGCTTCCCATGCAGATGCTAGAAGGGGAAGGGGGGGCATATGAGGGACCCCAAAACTAAACCCCCCCTTCCCTCCAGCACTGAGCCCCGTCCCAGGGGTAGGTACCTGGTAGCGGGGATCCTGCGGGTGCACAGCCACGGCCGTGTCCCCCAGCATGGTCTCCACCCGGGTCGTCGCCACCACCACCTCCTCGTCTGCAGGAAGAGAGAAGGTGAGACCCCCCCCCCGAGCCAGCCCCCCCCAACTG